GGAAGTAGATATTTCCATTTTTGTGATACAGGATTTTTATTTTATGATAATCTGCCCATGAGATTGGGTAATTTTTTAAGTATTAAATCTGCTTGAAAAGTCGATAGTCTGATTTTTGAGTAGAAAATCTGTCTATTTTGGAAGTAGATAATAACTTTCCGTGTGTTTTTTTTTTGTTTTTTTTTGTTTTTTTGGAAAGTGAATATTTCCATTTTTATGATACAAATTTCCGTTTTCTATGATAATCTGTTTCGGGAAATTTGGTTATCTAAACAACTTTCCGGAAAGTAGATATTATTGGGGTGTTTTTGGGTGTTTCCCATTTTTTTGATGCAAATTTCCGTTTTCTGTGTTAATCTAATTTGCTTGGTTTTTGTTTTGTTTGTGTGTTTTTGGTGTTTCTAGTTTTGGAAATGTCTATTAACTTTCCGGAAAGTAGATATTTCATTTTTTATGATTACAAATTTCCCGTTTTCTGTGATAATCTGTTTTAGGGAAAGTTGGTTATCTAATAACTTTGGAGAGTAGGTATTTCATTTTTTGGTATTTCGCGTTTTCTGTGATAATCTGTTTTTCAGGAAGTTTGGTTATCTATCCTTTCGGAAAGTGGAAATATTCCCATTTTATGATACAAATTCCGTTCTCTATGATAATCTGTTTTCAGCAAATTTGGTTATCTAGCTTTTCGGAAAATGAATTTTTCCCCATTTTTTGTTCAAATTGTTTCTATGATAATCTGTTTAAAAGTTAGTGTATTTCTGAAATTGAAAATCCTGCTTCCACGAAAGTCGATAATCTAATTTTCCCGAAAATTAGAAAATATATCTACTTTCGAGGAAGTGATAACTAACTTCAGAAAGTGAATATTTCCCATTTTTATGATGCAAATTTCCAGTTTCTATGATAATCTATTTTGGGAAAGTAGATATTTCCATTTTTTATGATACAAATTTCCCGTTTTCTTGATAATCTATTTTCGTAAATTTGGTTTATCTAACCAACTTTCGGGTGTTTTGTTTTGGGTGTGTTTTCGGAAAGTAGATATTTCGTTTTTTATGATACAAATTCGTTTTTCTATGATAATCTTATTTTTTAAAAGTTGGTAATATTTCGCAAAGTTGAATCTTAAATTCGATAGTTTACTTTCTGGTATATGATCTATTTTCGAGGTTTCTTAAACTTTCACGGAAGGTAGATATTTCCATTTTTATGATACAAATTTGGGTTTTATGATGTAATCTGTTTTCGGGAAAGTTGTGTTTCTCCATATTTCTGATGGATATTTCCCATTTTATGATACAAATTTGCGTTTTCTATGATAATCTATTTTTTGGGAAGAGACCAGTTTATCGCTTTCTTTCATGGAAATGGAATATATTTCTCATTCTTTAATTTTCCATTTTCGCTTTTCTGTGATAATCTGTTTTCCGGCCAAATTTTGGTTTATCTATTAACTTTCCCGGAAAGGAGATATTTTCCCATTTTTTGTCTGGAGTGTCGTTTTCTGCCAGTAATCTATTTTCGGTGAAATTTGGTTATCTAACCAACCGGAAAATGGAAATGCTATTTTGTTACAAATTTTCCCGTTTTCTATAGTAATCTACTTTAAAATTTGGTAATATTTCCCCGAAAAAAATACGAAAAACTACTTCCCCCAAAAGTCGATAATCCTAATTTCCCGAAAATTAGAAAAATCTACTTTTCGAGGAAACCAGATAACCAACTTTTTGCGTGAAAGTAGATATTTCCCCATTTTTATGATACTAAATTTCCCGTTTTTCTGCGTAATCTATTTTTCAGAAAGTTGGTTATCTAACCAACTTTCGGAAAGAAGTAGACTCATTCCCCACCATTTTTTATGATACAAATTTCCGTTTTCTACTTGATAATCTGTTTTCCGGGAAAGTTGGTTATCTCTGTAACTTTCGCGGAAAGTAGTGCTTTCCATTCTTTGTGATACAAATTTCCCGTTTTCTGTGATAATCTATTTTCGGCATTGGGACATCTAACCAACTTTCCCGGAAAGTAGATATTTCATTTTTGTGATACCAAATTTTCCGTTTCCTGTGATAATCTGCTTCCCAAAAATTGGGTATGTTTCACGAAAATGCGAAAATCTGCTTCCCAAGAGTCGATAATCTAATTTTCCCGAAATTAGAAAATCTATCTACTTTTCCGAAACCAGATAACCAACTTTCCGTAGTAGATATTTCCCATTTTTATGATGTTAAATTTCCGTTTTCTATGATAATCTATTTTCCGGGAAAGTTGGTTATCTAACCAACTTTCGGAAATGAATATTTCCCATTTTTATGATTACAAATTTCCCAAATTTTCCCGTTTTCTGCTGATAATCTATTTTTCGGAAAGTTGGTTGTCTATTTCAACTTTCGGAAAATGGGCATATTCCCATTTTTATATTCTAAAATTTCCCGTTTTTCTGCTGATAATCTATTTTCCGGAAAGTTGGTTTATCTAGCCAACTTTCGCGGAAAGTAGATATTCCCATTAACATAATACAAATTTCCCGCTTTCTGCGCCGTCGGCTCTATTTTCGTAAATTTAGTTTATCTAATAACTTTCCCGGAAAATGAATATTTTCCCATTTTTTATAATTCAAATTTTCGTTTTCTGTGATAATCTGTTACCGTAAATTGGTTATCTAACCAACTTTCGGAAAATTTCCATTTTTGTGATGCAAATTTTCCACGTTTTTCTATGATAATCTGCTTTAAGGAGAATTAGGTAATATTTTCCCCGAAAATGCAATCTGCTTCCCCAAAAGTCGATAATCTAATTTTCCGAAAATTAGAAAAAATCTGTCTACTTTAAAACCGAATAACCAACTTTCCGTGGATAGTATATTTCCCATTTTTTATGATGCAAATTTCCTGTTTTCTTGATATCTATTTCTGGAAGTTGGTTATTTAACCAACTTTCGGTGGGTATTTCCATTTTTATGATAAAATTTCCGTTTTATATGGTAATTGTTTTCGGAAGTTGGTTTGTCTGGTAACTGCGGAGATATTTTCACATTCTTTTGATACTTTCCGTTTTATGATATCTGTTTCGGCAAATTTGGTTTATCTATGCTTTCCCGGAAAGTAGATATTTCCCATTTTTATGATACAAATTTCCTGTTTTCTATGATAATCTATTTTCGGCAAATTTAGTTATCTAACCAACTTTCGGAAAGTAGATATTTCCCGTTTTTTGTGATACAAATTCTCCCGTTTTCTATGATAATCTACTTCCCAAAATTAGGTAATATTTCCTCGAAAATACGAAAATCTACTTCAAAGTCGATAATCTAATTTCCCGAAAATTAGAAAATCTATCTACTTTTCGAAACCAGATAACCAACTTTCCCGGAAGAGTAGATATTTCCTATTTTTTGTGATACAAATTTCCCGTTTTCTGTGATAATCTACTTACCATTAGGTAATATTTTGAAAATGTAATCTACTTCCCAAAAGTCGATAATCTAATTTCCCGAGAATTAGAAAATTCTATCTACTTTTCGGGAAAACCAGATAACCAACTTTCCGTGAAAGTAGATATTTCATTTTTTGTGATACAATTCCCGTTTTCTATGATAATTTATTTTCGGAAGTTGGTTATCTAACCAACTTTCCGGAAAGTAGATATTTCCCATTTTTATGATACAAATTTCCTGTTTCTATGATAATCTATTTTCGGGAAAGTTGGTTATCTAACCAACTTTCGCGGAAGTAGATATTTCCCATTTTTTATGATACAAATTTCCGTAAATTTGTAATATTTCCCCAAAATTCAATCTACTTCCCCGAAAAGTCGATAATCTACTTTCCCGAAGTAGAAAATCTATCTACTTTTTCGGGAAATGAATAATAACTTTCGGAAAGTAGATATTTCCATTTTCTATGATACAAATTTCCCGTTTTCTATGATAATCACTTCGCAAAATTGGGTAATTTTCGCCCAAAAGTCGATAATCTACTTCCCAAAGTCGATAATCTACTTTCCCGAAAAGTAGATAATCTCTACTTTCGGAAAGTAGATAACCAGCGGAAAGTAGATATTTCCCATTTTCTATGATACAAATTTCCGTTTTCTGTGATAAGTAGATAACCAACTTTCCCAGAAGTAGATATTTCCCATTTCTGTAATACAAACTTCCGTTTTCTATAATTATGGGGTAAGGAAAGAAGGGAACAACCAATTGCAATTTATTTATTAAAGTTCCAGGAATTTAATAAATCATATATGATCCATTTTTTTACAAAGTAGAACTTGTATACTGTATATAAAGTTGTCAATATATGAGAAAATCTTTTCAGGCACATATCTCCATTAATATAGTAAATGTCTAAGGCACATATCTCCATTAATATAGTAAATGTCTAAGGCACATAACTCCATTAATATAGTAAATGTCTAAGGCACATAACTCCATTAATATAGTAAATGTCTAAGGCACATAACTCCATTAATATAGTAAATGTCTAAGGCACATATCTCCATTAATATAGTAAATGTCTAAGGCACATATCTCCATTAATATAGTAAATGTCTAAGGCACATATCTCCATTAATATAGTAAATGTCTAAGGCACATATCTCCATTAATATAGTAAATGTCTATGGCACATAACTCCATTAATATAGTAAATGTCTAAGGCACATAACTCCATTAATATAGTAAATGTCTAAGGTACATATCTCCATTAATATAGTAAATGTCAAAGGCACATATCTCCATTAATATAGTAAATGTCTATGGCACATAACTCCATTAATATAGTAAATGTCTAAGGCACATAACTCCATTAATATAGTAAATGTCTAAGGCACATATCTCCATTAATATAGTAAATGTCTAAGGCACATATCTCCATTAATATATTAAATGTCTAAGGTACATATCTCCATTAATATAGTAAATGTCTAAGGCACATAACTCCATTAATATAGTAAATGTCTAAGGCACATAACTCCATTAATATAGTAAATGTCTAAGGCACATATCTCCATTAATATAGTAAATGTCTAAGGCACATATCTCCATTAATATAGTAAATGTCTAAGGCACATATCTCCATTAATATAGTAAATGTCTAAGGCACATATCTCCATTAATATAGTAAATGTCTAAGGCACATATCTCCATTAATATAGTAAATGTCTATGGCACATAACTCCATTAATATAGTAAATGTCTAAGGCACATAACTCCATTAATATAGTAAATGTCTAAGGTACATATCTCCATTAATATAGTAAATGTCTAAGGCACATAACTCCATTAATATAGCAAATGTCTAAGGCACATAACTCCATTAATATAGTAAATGTCTAAGGCACATAACTCCATTAATATAGTAAATGTCTAAGGCTCATATCTCCATTAATATAGTAAATGTCTAAGGCACATATCTCCATTAATATAGTAAATGTCTAAGGCACATATCTCCATTAATACAGTAAATGTCTAAGGCACATAACTCAATTAATATAGTAAATGTCTAAGGCACATAACTCCATTAATATAGTAAATGTCTAAGGTACATATCTCCATTAATATAGTAAATGTCTAAGGCACATAACTCCATTAATATAGTAAATGTCTAAGGCACATAACTCCATTAATATAGTAAATGTCTAAGGCACAATAACTCCATTAATATAGTAAATGTCTAAGGCACATATCTCCATTAATACAGTAAATGTCTAAGGCACATAACTCCATTAATAAAGTAAATTTCTAGTTCCAAGTTTAATCAAATAAACTTTTGGCATTCTAATTATTTAAAACATTTACTTTGTTATAATAATCTAACCTAAAGCGAGGCTGAAATAACTATACATTTTATGTAAGGATAAAACGTCTTCTTGTGTCCATCCTATTCCTCATCTTCTTTACTCAATGGTGTAAGTTAAAGCACCATTAATTACTGACCAAGCTTCTCCTGAGCACGAAGCTGAGGGACAAACACATCCTCCTGTTGACCTTCAGCCATAAGTTCTTCAATCTCCTCCACACTGTACAGGGAAAAATTAAAATTAGCTGCTTCTATAGTATACCTCAACATCAATCCAATCTTTCCCATGACATGAAGGTGCAGGGTTGGAAGTGGAGGGTGTTGACATGTAGAGGGAGGGGTGTGGAGGTGGAGGGGCGTGGATGTGGAGGGCAAGGAACATAGACCAAGGTGATAAAGGTGGCAGCAAACAAAATTTGCGCTCCACTACTGATCAACCTAACAACATTCCATATATGCAAACTCTGAACAAATTCTGAGGGATGCCATCGTCCAACATATACAGAAAGTTGCCTCCATATCTCAATATGTGTTAAACAGTGAATCCTGTACACCCACATATGATATAAAATATAACTCCATTACAAATTAGGACTTAGGAGCCAATGAAGTAAACTATTCTGAAATGAGTGGTAAAGCCTCCACTTGCCAAGTCAATCATATATTTAATTATCATTGATTTTATATTGCAAATGAAACAGCTGTAACTTACGTTTGTGGAATAGTACCCTGCGCAAGGTCTTCCGTGCCATCGACAGTCACAACAATATCATCCTCAATCCTGACTCCACCAAATCCACGGAAGCGGGCTATTGCCTCGGGAACCAGAAACTGTGCCTGAGCAGGATTAGCCAATGCTTGATCCAAAAGCTGTTGATTAAAAAATAAATAAATAAAAATATTGATTAACTCTACAATGATGAGAAAAATATAAGAAAATTACACTAAATGTAACCCAGTACAGTATTTTGATTAAATGTACAGCCTGGCTACTCCATTAATCTAGCTGTTTGTAATGTTTTTCTCTCACATTTTTACTAACAATTCCTTTAAAATTTTCATGTCCTTGAGATCAAATACCAATCCTCTCTTTTGGGAATGACAGGCCGCTCACCGACAGTTTTTCTTGGTTCAAAAGTATAGCGTATGTGGTAGCAAGTATTTGGTGAAACTGATTGTAAAACAACCAAGTATAAATGTATAAAGTCGACCCTCGTTTATTCGGACCCCTTTAATCCGGATTTCGGATAAATCGGCCGAAATCTGAACTGTCCTTATCAAATTTCTGGTTCTGGGATTGTCCCAGTTGCAATTGGGGTTGTAATTTCAAATTCTGTGTCACTTCTAAGGAATAACAAAGTCTCTGGTGCACTCTAAGATTAAGAGAAAACGGACTCCTACGACGGGGCACTCAAATAAAGAGACATGGTTACATGTTTTGTGGACTACCCACTGTACAGTATTGATCGTATAATTTTCATCACTTTGTAATAAACCTAGTCATGCCTATGTGTGTTTCTGATAATTACCATAACATTATATATTTATATATTTAGCAGTTGTACAAACACAAAGCCTCACACATGCCACACAGACTGACAGATTTGACAAGTTTTACCAACCATAAAGACAGTTGAAGCTTTAAACATCACTCACAATGGATCTTGAATATTCCAACTGTAATCAGACATACCTAAGTTGCCTCAACAAAGTCACTGGTGCACTCTAAGATTAAGAAAAAACGGACGACTCAGGCGTCCTGAAGTGAGAGAAAACGGACTCCTATGATGAGGCACTCAAATAAACATACAGTACACATAGCTGTATAATGCAATATTATGCAATAATAACCCCTAAATCGGTTAATTCCGACAATCGGCTAAAACGGACACCCTTCCCCCTATTAGTCCGTTTTAACGAGGGTCGACTGAATAAATAATAATGTACCTGTATTATCTATTTCACAAAACATCTGCAACTACATACAGTACCCCATTCTTTTCAAGAAAGTTGTGGTTAAGAGTGCTAATGTTAATGACAAGGAATCATCAAGCCTGTGAGAATCCTGGAGTAAAAAATTGTCTGTCAGAATTTTTACGAAAAGAGTGGCTGGATTATTTAAGTCGTTTGGCGTGGATTCGTTTCTCCAGTCGATGTCGTTATAATTAAAGTCCTCCACGACAAGGAGGTTTAGCGCCATTACATTGTCAATTAATAAGTTTCTCTGATTTAATACGCTACAGTTTTGGGATCTGTAGATTCATCTCACAATGAGTAAGTCTCTCCCCTTCAGTTTAATTTTACACCACTTTGATTCTTTGAAAACATCCTCCCCCTGCACCCTCACCTGGCTGGCTCTTAGGTCCTGCCTAGCATAGATAACTACACCCCTCTCGCAAGTTTCTTGGGAAAGGTGCATAAATGAGTGATATCCATCTATGTTGAACTCATATTCCTCCGGTTCGATTCTCCTGCTTTTGTACAACAGTTCTACATCACCTATATTATATCGGGTTGATGTACCCTCAGTAGTGTTTCAAACTCCGCTTTCTTGTCAAGGAACATGTCAGCATTAGTGTACATGACTTTCAACCGGAAATTGTCCTCGGTAATGTCTCTGGTCTTGGTATTGACTCCGGCTCCTCTCCATTCTCTGCAGCTGCCTCGTTTACTGTAACCCTTGTGTTTTGTGGGGTCAGAGATGAGATTGTTTACATAGCGCTTGCCTCCTCCTGGATGGGAGGTAGAGCGGAATGGGGTCCCACTTTCCCCTTGCTCTGAACTGGTACACTTGCCTCCACTACCTTCCCCTTGTAAATAGCCCATCAATGTCAATCCCCATTCCACATTGACTCCTCCCTCCTCTGCTTCAAAGACTCCTGGAGATTTTTGTGCTGTTCCCTCTGCATTACCGTGCAATGGGGATTATGAATATTCCCATTTCTTACCCTCACCCACTAGTGTGATCCTGAGGGGGCGGGGCTTGTCCTCCTGTCTTTGTCCTCGCCTCCTCATGTCCTGAGTAGGGGCTGATAACTTCAGAGCCTCATCACAAATATTTCGAAATTTCAATTTGTCGTGCATTTTCCTAGTTTCAGCTTCCTCCTATGGCTCTCTAAGACTCCAAACTCTATCATGTTGTTCCTATGCTCTGAATGTTCCAGTTTCTCCTCTTATCCCATTTCAGTAGATCTACTAGTTGTCAACTCTTCAACACACTTCTGCAGAGTCCCTAGCCGCCGAAGGACCTGTTCAGATCCTGCATTACTCTCCGTCACTTTCTGTGTCCCTGCTACAACCTGAGCATGGCTCCTCATAACTACTTCATCTGTTCTGTCAGCTACTTCCCCAGTCTTAGTGAGGATCTCTTTCCCAACCAGCTCCAGCTTGTCAACCAACACGGATTTAGCTTCCTCCATTTTTGTCTCCTTCCTAGTGATCTTCAAATGCCTCGTTTACTTTGATTTTGCAGCTAAGGCAGTACCGGCAACAGCCTTCACACTTTACTGCATTCAGCACTGCCCTAAACGTTTTAGGGCCCAGACCTGCATTATGTGCATCAGACTTTGCCCTGCAGTAATTGCATGTCAACAAACTTCCTGGTGATGCTGGGGTTTTAGCCCCTGATTCCCTATTCCTATTCATATATGTATTGTCACAAACTTTCCTCTTCCTTTTACGTACTTTACACCTGTTAGGCTAGAGCCCAGTTTACAATGTGATGTAATTCTAGTCATCTCGGTGACAACAGAGTTGCTCACAACCAGACTTACCTGGTACATGTCTGACAGTTCATCTATGGGCACCATAGGGGGAGGTCACACCCGCTCGTCGTCCTCTGACCTGACTTGGCTTCAACGCTGTGTGAAGCTTGGTACAGGAGTGAGAAGTTACCTTGTGTGCCTTAGTTATCTCAGTACCTCGACCCTATAAATGTGGACTGTATAATTATTTACCATAACCAAACTGTATAGAGGAAAATACAGTGTGACGTGATACAGGGAGAGTTAGATTTTTTTTTTTAGATTGCCCCGGAGGGAGTTAGTTTATTGGGCACCCCCTTACATCCTGTGCAAGGTGAAGCGCAGAAGTGTTCACAGTGCCCATCTGGGAAGCCTGCTAAGATCATGCTTGCCTTCATGACTCATGCATTAAGGGCGTAAAAGCCTGAAGGGTCATAGGTTTTGTCAGCAAGTTACATAAAATGACAGAATAATGAGTGTGTGGGGGGAAAGTTCCCGGTACATTTCATCTGTCTATGGCAAAGCATGGTAGGTCCCTAATAATGTCAAGGGAAGAGGTGTTGGTAACGGCTGGGGACCTGTAGGAGGAGGTCAAAGGACAAGTAAGGATGTAGTTAGGGAGGGTGTGAGAGTCGGGTTGGCCACAAAGTTTACAAACAGTGCGGCCAGGCTCAGGGTTGCCAATGTAGTACTCCCATAGGTACCTATACCCTTGGCGCAGTCTCATGTACATAATCTGTTGAGATCAAGTCAGGGATTGATACTCTATGTAGTGGCGGTTGTCGTTACCGGTTACAGCGTCATAGTGGCGTAATGTGACGCTACCCCGTTGTTTCAGGTGTGTCCAATTTTCGTTGAATGCTTCTCGTTGTGCGGCGTGTATGAGATATTTGAGATGAAGCAGGGAGAGGGCGAGGGTGGCTTCAATATCTTCTTCTTGTGTCGCTTCTTTGGCAGTTATTCCTGTGTGTGACGGGATCCAAATAAACTTGACACGGATGTCATCAGTTTGTTCTAGCCCAGCGACGGCGGATAGGGTGTGTTGGGCGGCAGGGGAGGGGGGTAGGGTAATTTGAGCCTCGCTAGCACAGAAGTGCTGTCACTGATTATAAGGAGGTTCCGGCATTCAGTGCGAGCATAGGTCACCCCCTCATGAATGCCCGCGAGGATGGCTATGCTTTCAGAAGAGGATAAGAGGGTGGGAGGTCGTAAGAGAAAAGGTGACATCATTAATCTGCTTAAGGCAGTTAAGTTTGAGCATATACTGCAGTTGGGTGGATTTACGACCTGGGAAGGTGTGGACGACATCAACACTCGGGGAAGTCCACGGCGGTAGAGGCGGATGAGTGTACTCGGGAGGGAGAGAGGTCGAGGGGGTGTAGAGGTGATAACACAGGATGTCAGTAGCAGTGTGGACAGGCCAGTGTTGAGAGGGGGAGGGAAAGATAATGGGGACAGGCCGGCGCAGGACGGTGTTAAGATGTGAGTTCAGTGAGCGCGACAGGGGAGTCGGTTGCTTACTGCGAAGAAGTTTAACACCAAGGATGGCATTGAGAGCAGTAATTCGATCGCAGATGGGAAGCAGGATCAGTTCACGCTGCATGACTTCTATTCTGGTGGTCATTGGGCAGCCGAGGATGAGTCTCATAGCTGTTTTTTATTTTCTCTATGCTTTGTTTCTCGTGCTGGGAGGCAACTACAAGGACAGGAGAGGCATAATCTATGACAGCTCTGACGATAGCAATGTACATGAGGCGTAGGATCCTGACAGAGGCTCCTTTGAGGCCGTGGGTGAGGGACTGGAGGGGCCTCGTTCGTTGGCAGCACTGGAAGATGACGTGGGCGGCGACAGCGGAGGTGGTGGTGCTGGTAGTGGCTCACACCGGTAGACCAAGGTGCGTACTTGATCAATGTCTTGTCCTTGCAGAGTCAGCGATGTCTGACGCCGGAAGTGTGAGATGAACTTGGTTTTAGTGTGTGAGATGATTAGTCCGAGTGTTTGACAGGTCCAGCTGAACGTGGAGAGTATAGATTATTCATGTTGCACTGTAGTAATTTGGAGGAGAATATCATCAGCGTAGCTTATGATGTGACCATCTAGGGCGCACTCAGCAAAGATGTTGTTGAGGCGGCAGATGGAGTTCATGAGAACATTAAAGAGTGTAGGGCTGAGTACACCTCCCTGAGGCGTGCCAAGATCAAGGTCACTGATCATAGAGTAGTGGCCCTGAAAACGGACATGGGCCTGTCGATGGAAGAGGAAGTCAGCAATCCACGTGAGGAGTTTGCCCCTCACATCAATGTGCGTGAGGCCCTCAAGGATCACTTCACTGTTGGCTTTATCAAAAGCACCCTTGAAGTCGACAAAGAGGGAGGTTTTGGCTGAGGTGTTCGCCATGTAGTGAGTGATGCAGTGAGCAGTAACCTTTCCGGGGCGGAAACCAGAGGTCAGGGTGCAGGTGGACTTCAATTTTCCAGAGGAGGCGGTGGTGTATCATGCGCTCCATCATCTTTGACAAGCAGAAGATGAGGGAGATTGGACAATATTCATCTT